AGGGCTGCTGGACATTCTGTGCACATGCACCTTCCCTGAGTGTGTCATCCAAAACAACATTTCCCTCACCTTCTTTCCTTTTACTTAATTTTCCTCCAAAGCACCTGTGAATCCCTGTAGCAGCTGCAGAACAGCCACCCACACACAACACATCCACCCCTAATCCCCAGAACGAGTATTCTTTACTTTTTATGGTAATATATGGTTAAATTAAGAACCTTCAGGTAAGATTGTCTGGGACTGACTTGGTGGGCCTGAAATACCAATACAGTGTCCCTGTAAGACGGAGACAAAGGCAGGTTTGATGCCAACACCAGGAAGAAGAGGCAACAGGAAATCAGACACGCGAACTGGAGTCAAGTGGCTAGGGAACGCCAGCAGCCACCAGGAGCTGGAGGCGAGGAACAGATTTTTCTCTAAAAGCCACTGGCAGGGGCGTGCCCGGTGGACACCTTAATTTCAGCCCAGTGAACTGAGCTGTGACTTCTGGCCTCCAGGATGGTGGGAGAACAAATTTCTGTTGTTTTACGCCATCGGCTTTGCGGTAGTTTGTTACAGCAGCCACAGGGAGTTAACACACTACCCAACTCCGCAATGCACGTTTATTGCCTGATTATAAATGGCCTTCTGATTACAAATTCCCCGAGAAAGGAGCCTGCGGACCTCTACCTCTCCTGGTAGTCCCGGAGCCCTGCACACTGTGGAGGCCCAGGCCTGTGCAGAATGGCACAGGCGCAAATACGTCCGTGGCCATTCTCTGCGCAGCTGTGCCTGTGAACAGGCCCCCTGAGCACCATGGATCCCGTTGAAGGTGTCCCTTCCACCGCCCGGGCCTTTCACAGTTTTGGCCACGCGCGCCCGTGCGGCTTAAAATCGGTCCTCGTCGGCATTTCTGGTATTTGATTGGTGGGTACAGATCTATGGGGCATCTAAGCTAGAAGCCTACATTTCCCATTTTCTCTCACTCTGGACTGACTGCAGCTTGTAGGGAACATACTTGTTTTTTGGTTTTACTGATTTATTTTTAGAGAGAGGGGAAGAGAGTGAGGAGAGGGAGCGAAACATCAGTGTGTGGTTGCCTGTCATGTGCCGCCTACTGGGGACCTGGCCTGCAACCCAGGCATGTGCTCTAGACCTGGAATTGAACCAGTGACGCTTTGGTTCGCAGGCCCTCGCTCAGTCCACTGAGCCACGTGATCCAGGGCGGAGAACTGACGTTTTAAATTAGTAAGACGCGCCACGGTGGAGCGAGCACCGTCTCCACCTGCGAAGGGGCCGCACACAGGGAGGAGTGGCGGACACCGAGGGCTTCGGAAGCCGCAGGGAGGAAAACCGGCGGCTGGGTCTCACGCACGCCCGAGGCCCACCTACGGACGGGAGGTGTGGCTGTATCAAGGGGCTGATTTTTAAAAAAACACCAGAAGAAAATCCCACCCAAAACCTGGAAGGGTATTACATATCCAAATTGAAAAATTCATAAAAATTATTCGCTGGCTTCACTTCTACCAAGAACTGCGTATTCAGGGATACTGCCTGTTTGCCCCAGGGCAGCCCGTGTGTCTGGGAATTACAGCTGGTGACAGCTGGCCTTCTGCGCTGGTGCCGTGTCAGCCATTCATCCTTAAAGGAGGATTAAAGGGTGCGTGTGCTCAGGTGGCAGCTGGGGAAGCCGAGCTTGATGGTACTAAGTGACCTTCCCAAAGCTATGAGTGGTAGAGCTGGGACTTGAACCCAGGCCTCAGGGTTTCAAGGCCCGCATCTATAACCATTGTGCTACGTGGCCCTGAATTCAAGGTTGAGCTAAATCCCTCTTTCCTGGACTTCTCTTCTCAACCCTTTAAAGTAAAAGAGGACAGTCAGGTGCAACAAGAGCCCCAGGGACATTCAGGGCATATGAACCCAATGCCACTTCAGACGCCCTGGCTCCGCCTGTGCACCATGGCTCTCTGGAAACTTCTTCTTTTCTGGTAAGGGGCCAATTCCCAATTTATTCCTCAAACCACAAGGTCAAGTGCCACGTCTCAGGGAGGATTAGACACAGCCCCTGAGAACTTCCTGGCACCTGATCAATGGCGGGTAGGTTCCCCGGGCACTACTGTTTGCCAAATGTGTTTTTGTTCACAGCAGCACAGTGCGGTTCTCTGAGCCCTGCCCTGAGCTCAGAAGGTCTGAAAGGACCCCAGGAATATTCTCGGGGCACAAGCCGTGGTGCTGCCTTCAACGTGCCGGAGCGAGTGGGAGGTCTGTCCCAGAGCTGGAGAAGCAGTAACAGTCTCATTGAGCTAAAAATAAAGGGTGTTTTCAGCAAAGGCCATACACTGTCGGCTAAAAGTGACTTCACTTTCCAGGTCACTTCTGTAGTCTGTCTGCAGGTGTAGGTGACAGCTAGGTGCTGGGAGAGGCAAGCCAGAAAAATATTTCCACGGGACCAGATGGTTTTTTGTTTTCTTTGTTCCTGGGTCTAATGGTTTCTGGCCTCATTAAACATACAAAATGACCACTTGGCGTGCCAATCGGGTGTTTTATGTCCTTGTGGTGCTCATTTCACACGCTGCCTGATGTACATGTGCCTATTGGGTGTTTCTTAATATATTTTGAGATAACTTACAAAAAATATTTTGAGATGTTTGACTTGGGCTTTCCCGACTCCCCACATGCTGAATTGCTGTGGGTCGATAGGACACTGAGTGTTTTGGGCCACCAGGAACGTGCTGTGCTCAGACCCTGTGCACCCGGGGACGTGTGAGCAGGTGCTGAAATCAGAAACAGAGACTCCGGGAGCACCGCAGCCGTGCTGGGTCCCCATGTCTTACCGTGAGCACTGTCGGGAGAGCCCAGACTGTGCCTCGCACCCAGCTGCCGGCTGGGCCCTACACAGTGAGCGGTGCTGCTGGGTTAGAGGCAAAGTGCTCCCCACACTGCTTCTGCCTTTAAGCTGAAGCTAATAAAATGATTTTTTAAAAAGCCATAGAAAGTCATAAAACAAGATTCCTGGATGTCTGTGACTTAGTCCCCACTGAGAGACTTTGCCATTTTCATGGCACAACAGTTTGTGACTGCCAGCTACCTCCAATAAACCTGCTCGTGCCTCGGAGAGCCTCAGGGTGCAGCCTGGGAACCACATCTCCTGTGACGCGGGGCTCTGGCGGCACCCCGCACCTGCAGGTGTGACGCGGGGCTCTGGCGGCACCCCGCACCTGCAGGTGTGACGCGGGGCTCTGGCGGCACCCCGCACCTGCAGCATCCTGGGGAGGAACAGCACTTCCCTGTGGTTCTCTAACTTGTTCAGGTGGTGGCTTTGCATGTATTCTTTTTACAGTGCATGTCTGTACTGACATGTTAAACAGAAGCTATGTAATTTTTATGATTTTCTGCCAAAACAGACACCATCTATAAGGTTCAAGGGGGACACTGCAGAAGGGATCAAGATTTTGAGACAAGTTCGGGGGATAAGTACAACTAGGTAAAATGCTAGTAGGGCAAACTGTTCCCTGGGAATTGGGGACGAGGGAACAATTTGCAGTGTTAACAGTGACATGGTGTCCAAAAGCTGAGGTCTGTGCCTGGAGCAGAAACCTCCTCAGTTTTTCCTAAAATACTCCTAAACAGACTAAAGGGTGTTCGGTGTTTTGCCAATATTTTAGGGAATCCTGAAAATACTTGCACACCCTAGAGAGAAATAATGCAAACTGGGGAGCCGGGCTGCAGGGGTAACCTGTCCTGATGCTGCCAGAAATTCCTCTCGTTGGGTGGCACTGGACTACATTTCCGACCCCGCCCCACCCAGTTTCATGAGAGACAGGCAGGTGGGAGGGGCTGGGCTGGAGGGACAGGTGGCGGAGGACACAAGGTCACGTCTCGGCGGTCAGAGGGGTTACGTGATGGGCTCTTCGTCTCGTGTTGCCCTTGTTACAATCCAGTCAGGTGCTGGATCGATGGGTCCAATATGAAGGTGTGGACTTTGAAAAAAATACCTACTAAAGGTTTGTGTCCCTGTCACCAGCAGAAGGCAACACGCTTTACTCCCTTTGGTCCCATTATCAGTCACTTACGATGAGAACTGCACACACAGAGGCATTTTGGGAAGATACTTGCATTGCTCTGAACAAATGGAGACCTTCTGCAGGACTGAACAGGAAACAGGGACCACACACCAGAGGAACTGAATGGGGTTCAAAGGCCCGTGTGCCTTTCGATCCTTCTCTCATCTTCATCAAAGGTTCTCTCATCTTCATCAAAGGGCACCATCTACATTAAGTTTGTTTATACATGTTATGGGCTTTCTCTCTTTTTTTTTTTGCTATCAGTGATAAGTGTCATCAACAACCTTAAATTATATACCATGTGCTTTGGATTATGATGTGTGTAAATATCTCCTCTGTGTTTTTGAACATTATCTTCCACACTTGAATTGCCAGGTGATGGTAAAGGAAGGATGGGTGCTGTTCGTTTAAGGCTGTGCAGCGTCACCGAGCAGCCCTGCCAGCTGGGCCGCGTGACCCACACCTGTGCACGGTGGGATCTGGGAAGATGGCACCGGGCTTGGGAGGCGGCAGGGGCTCCATCAGTATGTGCTGACTGGTGAATAAATAAGGAGGACACGTTGGCATAAATGCGATCAGGAAAGGCGCTTTTACTGGGGAAATGAAAATAGCACCAATTAAATTTGGAAAAGGGATGGTTGACTCTGGATGTTCAAAAATGGGCTGGACATTTTTCAGCAAGACACGAGTATGATTAAAATGAAAGGTAAAGCCTGCCCTTCTCCAGCATGTGAGAAGCCCCAAGGGAAGCCAGAAGACAGCCCTTGGTTTCTGAATTCAGTGATTTCCCTGAATAACCATCGTTCACATTTTGGGCTGAGAACGATTTGAAGAGGTTGTTGATTAATGTGAGCATAACACCACATTATGGAATACACGACGTCTCCCTTTAATGTAACTGTTTCTCCTTAACAAAAACGGGGAGAAGTTGGGGGAGGCGGTGGTCTCTCTCCTTACCGTTAGCGACAAGGCCATGCACACGAACGTGAACTTCTTGATGTGGGCCGCCGTGACCGTGTTGCTTGTGCTCACCAGTTTATTGCTGGGGTTATTCTAGGGGAAGAACAGGACAATGGTGACGGGGTTCCGAGCCATCCCCAGCTGACCGCACATGCATCCCAGAGAGCATCTCGTCTGTATTGCCTGCGATGTGTTTGAAATACAGATTTCAAGTGACAGCCTGGAAGATGGCTGTCCCTTTGAGTCTCTCTTGCTCAGGCAGCTCTCAGACTTCTGGACATGAACATTAACTGGAAGGAGTTTTAGACCGAGCGCCAGGGAGTGTCTCCTGAATCAGTCCCCTCACTTCGGTGCTAGGTGCCACCTTGCTAGTCCAGGGCCTCGGCCTGTGCCCTCTCCTGGCCACTGTGGGTTCCTCCCTGAACACGAGGGCCCTGCTCTGTGGCCTTTGGGCCCTCCCTCCCCACCAGATGGACTGTAAGTTAGACTGGCCATTCCAGGCCCTCCTTGCTGTGACCCGGACTCACTTCCCTGCCATGACTTTTCAATCTGTACCCCAAAGGGAACCTCTTGCTCTTCCCTAACTCATTGGTGCTTCCAGGGTTCTGTAATTTTGTTCCTCCTCCTCTCATGGGATCTTCCAATGGTCAGAAACACCTCTTTATTTGAGGCTCATTGTCTTCATAGCCCATTGGTTCCTTAAAGACTCTCTCATCCTTTCCCTCCAATCCTGCCTCTGGGACCCCTCATGCTGTCTCTTGGACCGCTACCTGCAAAACAGACCACCCGAAGCAGGTTTGCTGGCATGTTCTGTACTCGGGGGCCGTGGCAAAGCTGCAGTGAGGCACGGGTGGTATGTCTCATTCATTTCTTTAGCTCCTGCAACTTAGCGCAATCTTCCTTGAGTATGAGAAGTGCTCCAAAGCCTTTGTTAAACTGAATTTTAAGCAAATAAAGCAGACGGCTCCGATGATATTTTCTTACACATCCTTGAACCTGAGAGCCTTGCTGAGGCTACCCCAGTGCCACTGCTGAGTGTGCCCATCACCCAAACCATGCCTGGCCCTCAGCTGTGAAAACCAGCAGAGAAAAGTAACTCCCACCTCGTTATGGACCCAATTAATCTCCGAGAAGACCAATGAAAACATACTCCCACATCTAGCCTTGTATAGCCGAGGCACTACAGGTTCCACTGTGAAAAGAACTACTGATGCTTCCTTAACTTTGGAGGCTGAGGTCAGCTCTCCAATCTCTTCCCAACAGATGCCACCAGCACAGGCTCTGGGTGAGCTGACCCATTCTTATTTCCAGCCTCTAAAGAGTATCTGCTTTTCTGGGTGACAGACTGTTCCCATGGTCAAGTGCAAATCACAGAGGGTAGAACACCTGGCCACCTCCACTCACCCCAGGGGTCTGTGCAAGTGGTACCTGGGTGGGCCAAGGGAGAAGGCGGCCCCACTGGAAAGAATTAGGTACACATCACCCATGGTGATGGTGACGTGCCTCGGGGCCTTCTGGTGCACTTTGATTTTTAAAATAGAAAATATTTCTGTAAGTACGGTTAGAACAAACTAGCATGTATCATTGCGTTGGCATCTGTGTTTTGTTTGCCCAATCGGCTCAGAAACATGCTCTTTCACAGATGAAAACTGCACATTAGAGAGAATCTGTATGAAGGGAAAGCTCTTCCCATCCAATAATGAGCTAGAGCCATCAGAAGTCATGCAAGAAATGTTACATCTCGGGGGGAGACCGGGTGGGGGGGGAAGGAAAAAGGCTTGAAGTAAAAAAAGAAAGTTCTTTATTCTGTAATCCACAGAGAGGCTGTGAGGATCTCATCAGCGGTCAGAGCGGCAATTCTGGGCGTCCACAGAGGTGTCTAAGGTTCGGGTGAATAGATGCATTTACGTAACGGCTGAAGGAGCTTGGTGGAGGGCCCGGAACCAGAGGGTGAGGCCTCGGAAAGGTTCTGAGTAAGTAGCTCCAGTTCCTGGCTCGAGGTACGCTCGTTAAGGGAATTTTCTCATAGCGCCTAACCTCTGTGATCATGAATAAGACAATGTTTTCCTTGGACGCTCCTAGTGAAACTATGGAGTGTTGTATTGTTAAGTTTCATTATTTCAAGGGAGTTCAGATGAGACTTTCATGGCCAGGTTCCAACGCTTCAGTTCCTGCTAGTCTCCTCAAGTTTTATTATATAATCTTGTTCTCCAAGAGCTAGAAATTTAGCAAGATGACTGACATCCATTTTGGTTTTCTAGGATTTACGTCTATGCACATGTTCCTTGAAATGAAATCAGTGATTTCCATCCATAGACTGGATGGAACCCACTCACACAAGGACTGTCAGCTTTCCCCCGCAAGTGACTCACGCCTCTGAAGTCCACTCACAAAGGCCTGGGAAGCAGAAATGAAATGCACTTTTTAAGAGACGCTCTGCATTCGGATGTTGTAAAGGATGTTGGCAATAGGTGGAGGGTCCAACTAGTGGTCTGTTGGGGAAGCTCCAGACCCAGTAAAGAGTTCAGGGCACCCCCACCCCGCTCTCTCATGAGACTGTGTGGAGGCAATCCCAGAAGTGTTCTGAGGGGAGCCGCTGTTCATGGGTGATTAGGGGTGTGGGGACAGAGGCGTGTGATCTGCTGGAGGTCCCTGGCAAGGGGGCTTCCTCTCTTTGCCTTCCCAGGGCTCTTGCTGGGACAAGAAGAAATGATACTGATGATCACTTTTATGGTATACAGATGTCTAATCACTATGGTGTACACCTGAAACTTATTATAATATTGCATATCAACTGTAATTGAAAAATAAATTTTTTTAAAAGATAAAGTTACATTGGCAATGGCTCTGAGTTCGTTCTATAGAAATTCGAGGCCAAATAGTTGCTCTTAGGAGTACTGGAGGTAGGTCGTGTGCTTCTTCCCTGTTTCTCATTTGAAAACACTGCACATTATCTTTTTGGGGTCCATTTGGCTAGACATTTGTTTCAGGATGAAAGGCTACTAGTTTTAGGTTCAAATGACTTAAGCTTAATGAACTAGACATTTACAGGACGATCCAATGCTGACAGAGGGTACGAGTCCAAAGGGTTATGTGTCTCCCTGGGCAGCAGCCTCTGCAGCAGGACAGAGCCGCTGTGACCAGAGGCTTTCGGCTGCAGTAAGTCTGCTGCATCCAGACCGAGGTGGACCCACCCTTGCTGCACAGACAACTTCAGTGCGCCTTCGCCCCCCACCCCAAGACTTCCGTACGTTCCTGAGCTTAAGCACACAGTTCCTGTCTGTACCTTCGTGTCCACTGTGAAGTCAGTAAGTATTAGCTTCACTAAAAACACAAACCACAGAAGCAAAATCCAGTGTATCATTTTTTGAGAGTATATTTTCCCGTTTGCAAACAAATAACTTTTCAATAGAATCGACTTAAACATGAGTATCAGTCTGAAGAGGCATTAGAAGCTCAGCTTTAAGGTAAGTTTAATTTTGCCTCTGTTTTTCTCTGAGGGAAGTATTGCACCATCACCTCTGACATTCTAATGCCAAGTAACCTTCCCAAGGGAGGTGAGACTGGGAAAAATCCAACCGCTCCTCATCAGAGCTCCCTGCCTATCAAATACTAATTTTTAAGAGTGCGTTTCAGATACCATGCCACACAGGTTCTCACCTTGTCAAAAGCAGGGTAGACAGCGCGGATTTCCGTCAACCAGCCATATGGCATGTGACCCACAGGGTACGTGGCTGTCAAAATTGCTACCGCCTGCAAGAGGAAGAGGCAGCAGAGTTAGTGTCAGCGTTTGTGGAGAGCATCTCCTGTGGCCGCTGTGGGCCCTCTGACAGAGCAAGCTGTCTCAGGAGTGGCCACTGCTGACAAGTCACTTGGCACTGGGTGACATGCACTGGCCAGCCACAGGATGGCCTGGGGCGGGAGGAGGAAGGGACAGGTGCTCCACCCTGTCCCTGGGAGTGGGATGAGTGGACCCTGGGAGAGCACCTGAGGCCAGGAGCATGGGTCCTGTTTTACATGAATCCAACGGGACGCAGGTCCTGGCCCCAGGTCCAGGTCGCTGGCTCAAGAAGCCAAAATTGCAACCCAGGTCCAGACTCCAGAATTTTTGCTCTTTCCATAGAGCTGAACCAAACCCTCCAGTCCAGCCCAATTCTTTAGTCTCAGCATGTGATTTTGAGCCCTCTCTGGATGCTCTCTGCTCAGGGTCCACCTGTTCACCTCCATCCAGGCCCTCAGGGGGACTCATCAGTCAGCCTGTGTTTGTCAATGGCTTAACATACTCTCCTGACTCAACTCTCTTCCAATTTGTTCAGGCAGCATAGCCCAATTATAGCTTTTAATTTAAGGAAACTAAACAAGTATTTCTTACAGGAAGCCAAGCGTGTTGTTCCATGAAAGTGGGTTGGAATTAGGCATTGGAACTGGGTGCACCTGGAATCAAACCTCTACTTCCTCACCTACCAGCTGTGTGAAGCATGAACCCGCCAGGCCTCCCTTCCTGCTCCTCCAGCGGAGCCAGGAGAATAACTAGCCCCTCTGCACAGGGGTGTGGGGATTTAATGAAATAGGTGTAAATGCCCACACATAAGTAGATGATCAATAAACATCCATTCTATACTCCATGTGCTGTGTCTCTATGCCATTGAGGTCAATTGAGAAATGGCTCTAATATATGTTGCCTTGTTTATTTTAAGGAAAAGGCAGGATTCTGGCCCACAGGCGATGGGGTCCTCTTTTTTGTCCCGGGCAACTTACTCACACTGCAGTCTTTGGGTAAAAGAGCTGCGGGGTTACAGGAGCCACCCAAGATGGCATGCACGGTTCAAAACACAAACTCCAGGAACAACCGGAGGCAAGAGAAAGGGATCTGCTGGTGATTAATGTGCTTCTTTTTCCAGGCCCACATGAGCTGCTTCCCAGGACATGGAAACTGGCAGGAGACCCCAGGCAGGAGACATGCTGACAGAGCGGTCAAGGGCACTGTGTAAACAAGGCCCCTGATGAGCAGCCACCAGCCTTCCTGAAGGATCAGCTGTTCCACAGGCAGAATTCGTTCTCCAGAGGGCGGCGGTTGAGGAAACAAATGAAGTCATTCTGCTTGTTTCTACCACACCTGGAAGATGGAAAGAGTGATTCCACTCTTTCTTTGGAGTAGCTGCCAGTTTCCAGGTAAATTTCTTGAGTTGTGATGGACTCCTCATTTGGAGGAGGGCAGATTGCCAAAGAGCACACGGAGCCCCGAGGGGGTGGGTGGTAAGTGCAGGAAGGCAGAGAGAAAACAGGTGACAGGAGGGGGGTCCACAGGGAAGCACCGGCCCTTCACCCTCTGCATCTTCCCACCCCTTCTGCAGCCACAGGCCTCTTCCTTTGTCCCCTGCACCTATCGTGAGGTGGCATCATGCTGAGTCCACGGAAAAATAGAAAGGCCACTGGGCCAGACTCAGGAAATCTGGATTCTAATATTAGCCCAGCTTCTTGCTAGTTTTGTGCCTTTAACTTTGTGTCCTTGCCTCAGTTTCCTCACACAGTCATCATGAAGGATGAATGAGATGTTTTCTTCCATACTCAGAAAGATACAAAATTACGTGACTATAAGTGACCAGATGAGATCTTCATGGCTCCCTAGTATGAACATGTCGCCTAATCAATCTCATTTCACCGAATTACTTGAGCTCTCTGGATAAACTGGAAACAAGTTCGTAGTCCACTTCCCCGGCCCCCATTCTTTACAAGGTAACAACGAGTGTCAGAAACCGCCCTACCTCCGTAGCTGCAGAACTGCCACCAAGGTCCCGGGAAACAAAGAGGTTGACGATAGGCCTGCTGATTCTCTGTGTGGCCAAGATGAGAGCCAATGGCCACCAGAAGCTCAGCATCTTCCTGATGGTCGCATCTCCCTGCGTCAAGAAATGGAGGCACAAGTTCACTAAACTCTGGAAGCAGCACAGGAAAAACAATTTGGAGACAAAGCCTTCCTTTTGGTTGTCAATCACGAGTCAATTCACTATCCTTAAAATGAATGTAAGGAAAAGCCTCTGTAGACAAGCCAAGTTGAATTAAAATAAAATGTACAATGAAAATAAAATGCACTCAGACAGCTGGCAAGCTACTGTGAAATCAAAACTCACATTTAGCCTTGAGGAATCCAAACCACTATTTTCCAAACAGGGCAATTCTAAGCCAGGTGGAAACCAACTCCATGGACGGAGAAAACAGTTGGAAATTAGTTTTTGTTTAAATCATTATGCTGACTGTCTAGAAGCCATGTCAGTAAGAGGTAACTCTTTTTTATTATTCTTTTTAAAAACTGGATTTATTGGGGTTACATTGGTCAATAAAATTCTACAGGTTTCAGGTGCACAATGACACAACATGTCATCCGTGCACTGTATTGTGTGTTCTCCACCCAAAGTCAAGTCTCTTTCTATCTCCATTCGCCCTCCGTTTACTCTCTTTCACGTGCCCCAACCCAAGAGGTAACTCTTAAAAGTAAAAAGTTACTATGATTTTTTAAATCCTCTCTTGGGGATATGTTTACTGATTTTAGAGAGAGGAAGGGGGGAGACAATGAGAGAGAAACAGCAGTGTGAGAGAGAAACATTAATTGGTTGCCTCCCCATATGGGCCAGGACTGGGGATCAAACCTGCAACCTAGGTATGTGCTTTGACCAGGAATTGAACCTGCAACCTTTTGGTGTCCTGAACGAAGGTCCAACCAACTGAGCCGCCTGGCCAGGGCAAAAATTATATAGGCATGGTCGAGAAAGTGTGACTTACTAAGGATGCTACAGGAGAGATGTATGCTATCTTTAAAGCTTGGCTTCCAGTATTTAATTTTGGTTTTGACTCTTCATGAGGATAGAAGTGACGTCAAGGGGCCATCTCAGTCACTTTAATTTATTTCCCTTTGCTGGCAGCTGCGTGTTAAGAGAGGGACTATCACCATTAAGACCAATTTGATGTGGCTGTCCTCATGGTGGAAATAACTAGGTTGGGTTTTGTTGGTGGCCTGACCTGGGATTGAGGTAAGTGGGCAATCCAGTTACTGTTCCGATGTGATGAAAGTCACATGTGGTCAGAGGTGGGGTCAGCGGGGGGAGTGTGGTAACTGACTCAGGACTACACAATACATAAGATCACGTGTGTGTGCCTTACAGCTGGAGGGAAAATAAATCTAAATGATGCCTAACACCTAATGGTGGAACAGATCGGCATGCACAGAAATCAGACACCGTGTGTACCTATGACGAAAAGGAAGCTTTGGTCACGCGTGTAAAGTTATTACACCTTGCCTGTATTTTATTTGCACTTCGAGGCACAGCCCAAGCTCCGCCTCCACCAGGCAGGCGCCTCGGCCCACAACACTAACTTCCTCCTCCCAGCTCAGGGGCGCTCCTGCTCCCACTGCATCTATGTCTGGGGCCACACCTGTCACTTTTATATTGGTCTTATCTGCCAAGTGGGACACAGAGTTGCTTGACAGTAGAGACCATATTTAAAAAATTTCCGTGTCAACCTATGGTGCCTAAGAGTTCTTCTCACTCCAGAGAAGGTGCCTGAATGACCAGTGGTGATTGTATTGGACAATGCGGCAGGAAGCAGGAGCAAAGCCTGGATCCCCCTGGCAAGTCAAGATAATCCAATGTGAGTTCAAAGGAACATGGGAGCTAAAACCTTGGCTGATTGTAGAATGACTTACTTTTGACCAAAGAGAGGAAGAAAAACCACAAACACTATGTACCCCTTAGCCCAACTTGACTCACTGTGTTCCAGTCTCACACAGAGGTAAGTGACCTGTGACGTTGCTCTGATCTCCAGAGTTCATGAATTCTCCATCTGTCTGGCCCTGAGGACACTTCCCAGCACTTGACCTCTCAGCAAATGTGCTTATTTTGCTGATTTCTCATTTCATAGAAGGGTGGGGTCAAACTCTATTCCACTCAAAGGTACGGACAGCCTGTCAGTGAGTTCTGAAGACGTACCCCCAGCTCCGGTCCGCTCCGGTCGGGGATGATGTCGTGGATGTTCCTGTAGTAGCCCAGGCACAGGGTGGCACAGCGCACCAGGGCACCCATGTACAAGGAGAGGATCGGGATGAGCAGGGGTTCTCTGCACTCCAGGTGACTGTGAAGCAGGATGGCTACAAAAACGACCTGTGAGAAGGGGAGACAGGATGAGTCAAAGGGTCAAAGGGGAGAAGACAGAACCGATCCACAGAATCACAGCCCAGTTCCTTGCGCTCAGATAAAACAAATTTCTAAGCAAAAACCTAGATGTTGGTGAGAAAGAGAACAGAAACTGGGTCGTGGCGCAATACTGCTCTCAAAGAACGCAGGGTCAGACATCTGGGATTCACGGGGTGAGCACACGGTCATTTTGGTATATTCACCACTAAGATTGTTTTAAGGCAACCACACATCCGGTTAAGGTTTTTGCTAAAAACATCTAGAAAGATTGGCCCCCCAGGCCCCCTAGGATACATCAGTGCTTTTCCCTCTTGAAGCTGGATGCTGAGGCGCACACGCACCCCACGCCTGAGGACCTCAGTTACCCGCCCCCCGAAACACACATGTACACGCACTGAGTGGCGATCAATGAGGACAACATACAGAAAAACAGGCGTTAGTGTTTCTGAGATGAAAATCCCCCAAAATACCGCAAAAGCACTACTATAGTTATACAACAAGCCAAATTAAAAATATTAACTTATAAAAGTGGAATAGGTCAAAAATAATCAAGAGGGATAGAAACACTAACACTATCTCTAAAGCAAAGGTATTAATGCATCTAACCTCCCTGTTGTGCAGAAATCCAAGAAGCAGCCTCACCTCTGTCCAGAGTCCGGGGACCCACACATTCCGAAGCCCACAGAGGTGTACTGAGTGCACAAGTGGGGCACGGAGGAGGGGGGAATATATCCCTGAGTTACATCAACCTTAACAGCCAAGTATCTGCCTGCTGATGGGCATGTAAAGTACACCACTGCTGAGTGATCCTGCCCAGAGGAGGCTTATCCTGACCACTGCCTCAGCAAGATGTCAGTGGGGACAGAAAGTTAAACAAGAAGCAGGAGACTGAGCGTGACTCACTGAATGCGCACACTCATCGCCACAGTGGCCACAGAAAAGCAGGGTGGTCCAGAGAAACTCTTCCGGAGGAAACAGGAGTGTTAGATAGCCAGGTGATCTGCTTCTAGCATCGGCTGACACTGTGCCCAGGGGTCGTTCTCCACCCCAGTGAATGAGACAGACATCAGCACAGATATCCTCAGGGGCACGCAGGACAGAGGGACTGTGTGGCTGCGTGGTCACACCAGGCTGTCAGCAGCGCAGGCAATGTGAGTGGTCACAAGCTGGGGGGGCACCTGCAGTCACACTCATGCTCTTTGGGGATACAGCAGAGCCCAGTGATGGCAGCAGAGATGCCCGGGGCTGTTGCCGTGACTGCTGCTCCCCAGTGGAACAACTGGTGTGTTAACTGCAGGCTGCGGAGACCCACTGGCGAAGCCTTGTGCAGAACCCACTGCGTTTGGATCAGAAGGTTGAGAGTTTTGCGCTGGGGCCAAGATGTCCATCTATGTCTCTAAGGAATGACAGGCCTCTAAGGCGACCTAACGTGCAAACTCAGACTAGCATATCTACAAGCAAGCGTAACATCGGACATATGCAAACTATAGTGTCAACTGAGATGATCACGTTTAGAAACAAAACTTGTATACGCCAGTACAAGTCCAGGCTTGTATAAGCCAATACAAGCCAATACTTCCCCCTTTGCCAAGTCCAGGAAGTCTCCCAAGGCCACCAGGATGGCTGTGGAACACTAAGGAGGAGGATTTGGACTTGAAGGAACAGGAAGCCACAGGCAAAGCAGTAAGTGCGAAGATAACAAGAAAATGGCCCGAGGAGTACAGTGGGCTAGAGTGGGATGGAAGGCAGGAGGGTGCATTCGGCCAGTAATGCTCCCACGGTCAAGGTGAAGATTTTGTCAGCCTCTCCTATCTTTGTAATGACTTGGTGCCATGTGCTCCAGTACTTGTAGCGCTTACATCTTCATGGTGCATTGTATCACTTAGCAATTTAAAATAACCCTCAAGCCTTTGCATTTCAATTCCGACATAGACATCAAAGAATGTCGGGTTATTTTCTGAGGGAAACCTGCTGTCTCAGTGGTGAGGATTCCCCCAGTGACAGCCTGCTATGTGCTGGCCCCACACCAGGTGCTGGGGATTCAGTGACAAATAGCACAGTCCCAGACTCTGTGATCTTGGGGCTGGCAGTCCAGTGGAAGAGGCAGAAAGGTTGATCAGACAGGATGCCAGTGAGCGTCCACTGACAAAGTAGACAAAGCCGACGAAGAAAAGGGCCAAGCTGTGGGGTGAGGGAGGGCACCCCATGTGGAGCGTGTCTGAGACCTACAGCCTCAGCAGGGGTAGTGGGGGACGGGAAGCAGGAGTCAGAGGGTGGTAGGGAGAACTGAGGCAGAACACTTCCTTCTGGACAGAGAAATCCAGGCGAAGACCCCCATGGAAGGGATCTTGGCCTCACTGAGGCCCGGAGAGGAGGACTTGTAGCTGGCATGCAGAGAGCAAGGGAAAAAAGGACAGTGCCTGGCTTGAGAGGAAGTAGGGCCCATGGTCTTCAGCACCATGCAGGCCATGCCTGGGGGTGAGGTGGCCAGAATGACACTGAGAATAGATCACTGTGGCCAGTGGGAAAGGATGGGGAAAAGCCAGGGCAGAAAGGTGGAGGCGAGTTACAAGGCATCTCAGATATTGCAGGTGGGAGGTGTGATCCTTTGAAACAGGGTGAGCACAGGAGAGGCAGGGAAAAGAGGGCAGGGAAAAAGAAGAAAAAGTCTACATTGAAAGTGAAAAGGCTTGGGAGTGAAGCAGGACACTCTAGGGTGGCTCCCAGGTGCCTGCCCAGACCCTTGGACTAGCTGACTTGGGAAGGCGAGGGTCAGCGCAGCAGATAGGTTAAAGGCCTGGAGGTCTCAGGAAGGTCCCGTAGCCTCAAGAGAAGTCTCCTTTTGATATTGAGTAAGCTGAGAACGTCCAGGCGATTGTGAAGTTAAACAAACACAGCAATGTTTTTCATAAATCCCTTGGAAATGGGGGTGGAATACAGAATTATTTCCATAACAGTGGCACAGAGAAGCACTGCACATTTGAATTAAACCGAGAGCTTTTTTGTGCTGCTGTGTGAAACCAATGGGCTTGGTAAACGTTTTAAAGACTGGGAGTGGCAGGCTGAAGCATTATAAGCTATTTCCACTTTATCACTGGTGATTACTTGTTATCTAGCTATGCCGAGGTGGTATTTCAAAGAACTTTGCCTAGGATCTATTTACTCATTCTCAACTTTGGTAATTAACAAATGCTTCCAGGTAGTAAGAGCAATGGAGGAGCTGAGGGTCGGGGTAAAAGACTCAAGAACAAAAATTGAATTTACTCCTCCAACCAAATTGTGGTAGGAACTCAAGCTGCAACTTAAAATAACTACTTCACCAGCAATATGCCAAAACCAGATGTCATCTGAATCCAGCTTTCCTGGCTCCTGCTAACTGGACACAGTTATTCCGAACCTGGGACCCATCCAGCAGGCAGGGGCCAGGACGAGTTTAAACCGAGAAGGAGAACGGCTGTAGGTTTGCACGCCCACGCCTGTGCACGCGCATGCCGAGCCAGCAGGAGCGAGTTTCAGTAACTTCTCATCGTGACCCATGGAGCGAATGCAATTAATCTGGAAATTTAACTCTTGGTGTTTCGGGAGGGACTAACAGTCTAATAGTAGGTTATTTCAAAGAGACAGCTAAAGGGCTGGCATGTACAGCGGGGAAAAACCAGGATGGAATGCACAGAAATGTTCAGAGAACAGAACTGAGAATTAGGAAGTGGGCTTGGAAATCAGTGTCACCTCCTCCTCTATGAAGTAATCGTGCTCCCCATCTAAGTTATAGATTATAGGAATGAGATCTCATTTTCTGCTGAAGTTTTCCATGCAGTAGCCTTGCGGAAGACGAAAGGAAGGAGGATGGAAGACCAGGGCTGGTGCCAGACCCCAGGGAGCTGGACGCAGCAGACAGTGCGATGAAGCCTTCTTCTCGGGCAGCATCTGGCTCCCTGGTTCTTTTAAATGAGGGGAAACGACGCATAAATGGCGGCCCTGCGTGGCAGCAGCATGACAAACAACATTTAAGGACGATTCCTAAGAGCTCTCTCTAGAACCAAGTGACAGACCACACAGAGGGCGAGTGTCCACACAGCCAAGTGCACAGTGACCCTATGACCACTCCCAAAGGTAGCAGCAGCAACTCGACAGTCCTTTCACATGCAAGCTCTTTAAAAATAAAGGCCCAAACCTCTGATACTAAATTGAACTCCCTCAAACCCTCATTCTAGCAAGATTACGCATGCTTGTATCATAGGAGATTCATTTTCCCAAACGTTTACCGAAGCCCACATTTGATCCCAGGCAGGCGGGCACGTACCGCAGAGTGAATGGACAGATTCACTGAGAGTGCTGACTGACTCACAGGCCATACGTACCTGAGCAATGACATCTGAGATTGAGGCACATCCCACCAGGAAGCTGTACTTGTGTTTTAAGAGAATGCCAGCATGGGTCCATGCCTGCCAGAAGGAAAAGGGTTTGGCATGAGGTACATCTTTGGTATCACATTATTTCCGGTCACTGTGCTGTACTGGACATTCCTGAAACAGACTATACCTCCTCAAATCTTAGTAGTGCATGTTGGTAAATCTTCGGTTGGTAAAACGGCTGTAAGCTGGCCTGGTGGCTGCAGGCATGTTAGATTTATAAGTGGAACCAGTGACTGCACAGTATTTATCTCGCACCAGCTGTATGCAGACTAGCGTACGGTAGGTTCATGTGCCTGGGGGGAGAGCTGGGCGACACCAAGAATGGAGGAACCCGGTCTCTCTGGGAGCAATAGGAATCCCAAAGCAGCAGCTTCTCCATAGACAAAGCATCTTATAATGAGGGCTCTAACTTGGTTCTCATTGACTGATGAGGGCCCCACTATTTCCTCCTCTTCAAGTTTCTGTGAGATCTGATCTGCCCTTTGTGTCTTTGAGGGAAATGAAGAGGGAAGGTCCTGTAAGGGGTGTAGACAATGAAAAGCTCAGGGGACGGCTGGTTTGGAGAAGGTTTGAAGTTCACGGTAGGATCGGTTTAAGGATCATCCTTCTAACCTGGAAAGGCTGATCTGGACTGACACAGAAATCACATTTCATTGGGGTTAACTAGGTCAGTGTCAACACCACACAGCAGCCGCTACATCCACTTCCTCAGCTTACAGGTCCTGAGGTGCCAGATGAGAAAAGAAATGCAAACTGTAGATAACATTTGCAAATAACAGCTTCTGGACTATATTTGTTGACCAAAAGCCATCTGGGTGATAAGCTTTGTGGTTTTCAAATATTCTCTCTCCAACTAATACATCAGGGCCATGCTGCAGGGTTGCATGCTTGTGTGTGTGTTTGGGGAGATGGCCAGCTCTTTATAAGTGGTCATTATTTTTCCCTTTATTAGCAGTCTCTTACTTTGGGATTGTTGGAGGAATTGACAGATGAAACATGGAAGGAAAGGATACTAATTCTACATGTTTTGGTGTTACACTGAGTGTTAGAAACTCTACTGTGGCAAATAAGCGCAGCGGAAGGAAAGTGGAATACAGGGTGTCCGAGAGTCTGGTTCACTTTTCCTGGGGGTCCTAGTTCCCTGAATTCACTGTGTGACTGTACTCCTTCTGTGTGTTGACAAAGTCCCCACACAGACAGGTGGGCAGGCATCACAGCAATATCATGGACTCGGCCAGGATGCTCGTTGGGCTTTTTCTCCTTTAGGATGTGAACAGGGTCCCTTTATCCCACTCTCTGACATGAAGCTCTGCGGGGCCACCACAGGCTGGCGTGGACACCTTGGGGAACCTGGTTCTATGGACCCCCGCCCCCTCTGCCCTTCTGGTTTGTTCTGATTATGTGTCCACTATCAGAGTAATCACACCTGGTGAAAAGGAAAAAGAAAATCTCGGTATAAGCCCTCTGATGGCTAATTCTCCCACCAAAGTGACGTCACAACAATTGAGAGTCAGAACCTTCCATCAAACCTGAGAGTTAAACATTTAAGGCTGCTCTGCAAACTGGTGGAAAGCTGTCGGATTCCTCAGGAACGTGTCAATAATCTAAGATGTTTGGGAACATCTGGGAAGATGCTGCCTCGCTTCCACACAGACTTCCACTTACCTTGTGTGTCCAATGCATATACAACCTGAGGTACAGGTGGTAAAAACTGTACAGATGAACATATCTTTAAGTCTTCTTCCAAGGGTAATTTAAAACGAAGCCCAAAGAAAGGACTTATTTTCCAGCCTTGGACGTAACTGGCGTGTGTGTGTGTGTGCGTGTGTGTATTGTCTTGCTAAGTCTCCTTTATGTCTATAACACAGAGGGACAGAAGGAAAAAAAGCCCTGTAGGAGAGAACTCTTCAGAATCATGACAAAGGATTTAATCTATGGAAGTGAGCCATCCTTAGCTAATGCGGTAAGGCAGGTATTTATGAGATGAAGTCCTATCAGTATATTCGAAAGACTCTTACTCTAAAAAGCTCTGTGGACTTACAGCTCACAAGTGCTAAGTGTGTTTGAAAGCTAGCCCGATCCCTTGATCCTGGACACACTCGAAGAGAGTGTCATAACCAAACTTTCAACCAAAATTTTCAAGTGGGCTCTCTTGCTGCCTGCCAGAACTTACAGAAAATAAAGGCAATTCTCATAAAATAAACAACCAGATGGACCGGTTCAAAGTCAATGGTTAATTGGAACCCTTCTGACTGTGGGATGGGAAGTAGAAATCAGTATGGTGGTTCCTCAGGAACCAAAAAGGAAATTCTATGTGATCCAGCAATTCCACTTCTGGGCACATGCCCGAAAGAATTAGAGCAGGGGCAGAGAAGGATGTTTGCGCATCTACGTCCCTGGCAACACTATTCACAATAGCCCAAAGGTGGAGGTAACCTGAGCATCCACTGACGACTGAAAAACAAAATGTGGTATGCACATTCAGTGGAGTATTATTCAGCCTGAAAAAGGACATTCCGCCACACTCTATGACATGGATGAACCTTGAAGACATTATATGAAGTGAAATAAGCTGGTGACCATACTGTGTGATTCCACTTAATGAGGTTCCTAGAGTCGTTAAATCTGTAGACACGGAAAGTAGATGGGTGGTTGCCAGGGATCGAGGGGAGGGACAGTGGGGAGTCAGTGCCTGATGGGGACAGAGTTTCCATTCTACAAGATGGAAAGAACTCTGAAGATTCACAACAGTGTGAACAGACTCCATGCCACTGCACTGGATACATAAAAACGGTTCAGATGGCCAATTTTCCATTCTGTACACAATGCTACAGTCAACAAAGGCCGCCAGTCTTCCCCACTCACCATCGCATCCATGAAAGGGAAGGCAGCAAGATACAGAAAGGCCCTTCTCGTTTTGTTCCCCACGGACTCGTCCACGTGGTGCAGTTTGTTGATGATGTAGTAGCCCAGGTCGCTGTAGGCTGCAGAGGGCCCGAAAACATACATGGCGGTATTTAGAAAAAGCCACCTTTCTAGGTTTGTTCTCTCAAAAGTTTAAAAACAATTTGAAACATAATATATATATATATTTTTAAATTAGAATATTTACATGAGCAAAAAGAAGAAAACCATCTACGAATGCCCAGGGGTTGTTCTGGTGAAGGCTCTGGGATTGGCCGCCCGGCTCTCTTATGGGGGTGTGTGGTGGCTGTGTGTGGGGACACGTGTGTGTTTTAACAAAAAATGGGATGTGATCATACTACTATATACACCTTTGCGAACCATGAATACCTTTCTTTTCATGACATGCTTCCACATTTTTATTGTTGCACTGAATTCCTTTCTGTGGGTTTACTTAGTATCAATTTACTCAGTCTCCTATTATTGTACCTTGAGGTGGTTTCCATTATTTTGACATTATAAAAGAAGGCTTGATGGATAGGGTTGAAGCTGAATGTTACACATATTGTTAATCATTTACCAAGAGAACGTTCCTAGATGTTACCATGCCTTTTCAGTAACATTTTACAGCCAGCTTTTCACCATTTGCTATTCATTTTGTTTTATTTTGGGGGCGGAGGGTAGTCTCTTTGGGCATAGCCCTGTCCAGGGGAAAAGTGGTATCTCTGAGGTGCTTCTGAAGGCCCCGCACCACCAGGATTTGTGAGCAGGGTGTAACTGGAACATAATGAGCACTTAGCCAGTGCAGGCTGAATGAACATGCAGGTGCCAAACGGACGGAAAGGGACGAAAAAGAAGGGCCTTCCTTGTGCAGTAGGTAGCACGTCGATGGCCAGCATGAGCAGGGATGACATAAACTGTGAAGTCTTCCCACCTCACTGACACGTGCTCAGACTCTACAGGAAGGTCTTCATCCCTGTGTCTCTCACAGAGCTTTGCAGAGGGCTTTGATGGTGGTGCCCCCGCTGCTTTCATTCTTTCCTAAATAGGAGCGTTTCTGTCCTTGACAACCACAGAAGCTGCTTTGAAATCAGAAAGGATATAGAAGACAGTGGGAGTCCCACCTCATGAGAAACAAAAAGAACCCTCTCCCCACTGCAAAGCTTGGGAGATGACTTGTTACCACATTAACTGGTACAAAGAAATGACTCTCCATCTCTTGCCAGGATTAGACTTGAACTCTGGGAATTGAGTGAGGTCTTCAGGATGCTACCGAGGTTATTCACATGCACAAATGGGAGTCCCACTGGGGGCTGAGATGCACGTGAGTGATTTCAAGGGGTGGAGACAGGCAGGGCTAAGACATACAGGGGGACGAGGAAGTTGGGGAGCAAACACAGGAGGAGAGGGCCAAATCCTCCGAGGAGAGGTGGAGGGAAAAGTCCGACAGGTAAGCTGCCGGTGAGCAAAGGTGTCAGGTGTGCAATGGGGTGGGGCCTGCAGGGCCACTGAGGCTGCAAGAAGATACATTCAGGAGGGGAGGTGACATGTGGCAGAAAGAGGAAAGATGTGGGAAGGTGGGATTAGTTACTGGCAAGGGACAAAGGGACAAGGGAGGAGGGAGGTGGCCGTGAGGTCCGTGTTTGGATCGGAAAGCAAACCGATGACAGTGGATAAGAGAAGGCTGGGCTGAGGCACTCAGACCTGAGAGAAGCTGACAGAATCACAAAATAAAAGTCGATGCGACTTTGTCATACACACTGTCTACTTCAGGGGCTGAAACGTGGCATTTCGTCTCCAAATTCATTGCTGCTGTTGCTTTCCTGTCCGTTTGTTTTCCCTCAGTCCGGAGATGTTCTCTGTGCTGGGACCTGTGAGGAGACGGTGCCGCCCCTGCCCACAGCACTGCCCCGCCCTGGTGGCAGCCACCGGCTGTAAACAAGGCAGTCACGCTGGTGAACACAGCAGTGCAATGCCAAGTGCAAGAGCCCACAGCTGGCTATGAATAGCTCATGAGCTGAACCTCCTTGGTAAAGGTTAGGGTCGATCTCAAATGCCAGCTGGGTGGACTTGACTGTATACAAAGCTGGGGACCACAAAACCAGTGAAAGGCTGTGACCTAGAGGGCAGTGTTGTTATGGGCTGCACTACGTCCTCTCCAAATTCTTATTGGAATAATATGGTCTTCGGATCCTATTTGGCAATAGGGCCACTGCAGATATAATTTGTTAAGACGAGGTAATGTTGGATTATAGGACTAGGGCTCCCAGTCCTATAGAACTGGTGTCCTTCAAATTTGGACCCCAAAACAGATACACACAAGGGGATCGCCAGGTGAACTGGTGATGCCTGCACAGCCCAGGAAAGGCAGCAGGTGCCAGCCAGCCACCAGAAGCTGGAGGAGTAGGGGACGCCCAGGACAGATTCACTGTCATGGCCTTGGAAGGAACCGACCCTGCCGACGCCTCGATCTTCCAGCCTCCAGACCTGGGGAGCAACACAGTGCTGTTGTCTGAGCTGCCCAGTTGGGGCTACTGAGTCAGGGCTGCATGAGCAAACACACCGGCGGCTCCGGAGAACGTGAGGGAGAGAATGGTTTTCTTGTGAGACTCAGGGAGAGCAGCAAGAAAGCAGGGCCCGCCCTCGAGAGAGGTCATAGTGCTTGCTGGGTGGCCTGGGAGTGCAGAGACCAATAGAAATGAGCTTCTCGACCCTTTGTAAATATACTTACTCATGTTAGGGTATTTTAACTAAAACGTCAAAACAGTGCCTTTCTGCAGAGTAATGAAGGAAACATTTAAAGCTTAGCAGGATCCTCCTATGAAGGCGTGTCCATGGTTCCCTGTCTTTGGACACGTAAGAATTGGAGGCACAGAAGCGTGGACTGGAGAGGCCTGGGGCCAGTTCACTTTCAGCAGCTCAAGATCAACCACCCCACACAGAGGGGAAAAAAGAAAAAAATAAAGAAAGCTTAACAGGGTCTGAAGGACTAGGGGTGATGAGCCCAGCCCGGCCTCCTGACAGAATGCCTCTCTCACCCCTGCTTTTTCCAGCCTGTGGCTGGGCTGGGCTCCTTCAGCGTCCCCAGGTCCCAAGGGTCGTTTGGGACCTATGGCCCCAAATGGATTATGGGTCCATGGCCACCATGGCAGCTCTTTTCTTCTTTTCCTCTTTTAGGTACTAGAAAAATTCAGAGGCCAGGAAAGCTTTTTCTCCTGTTTTTTTTTTTTTCTTCCTTCTACTCCTCCCCTACATGGCAGAAGAGTCTGATCGTGACTACAAAGGTTGTGTCCACCCTGTGAGCGGGGAATATAAAATCGCAGAAGCTGGTTTTCACTCCTCCCCTGCCCCTCCTCCCTTTGGTCCTGCCCTGCGGCCTGGAGCTGTCTCTGGCTGCAGCTGATGGCTGGGGGTAATTTGTCTGAAGGGCTTTGCACAGAGTCCCTAATTACCAGGCTAGCTGCCCTGACGACATCCAGTCACCTTCGACTTCTATCAACTGCCCGTGCGAGATTGTTCAGAAACAGCCTGTATTCCTTTTGAAGAGCAGAACATTGAAAAGAAAAATTCAATAAGGTTTTCAAACAGATGTAAATGGATTCCCAGCCAGGGCTTCAGTCAGGGGACACTGACCTGACCTATTTACAGGTGACAGCTTTGACCCTGCCCAGACAAGAAGAAACCAGAGGGCCCACTCCAATCCCTAGCTCCTCTGACCTCAGCCTGCCAGGGTCATGGACTGTTGCCAGAATCAGTGGTTCTCAAGCTTGTTCGTCCAGTAGTTACCAGCTCTTGTTGCAAAATGCCATGAAATATTAACATTAACCAAACCATCTATGTACATGTACTTTCCCATGGGAATCGAGGAGAAGGCCCTCCTTCCATTTTAATAACAGGATATTATGTGTATTTCCAAGAGGCAAATTTGAGAACTCCTTCTAATTCATATTCCCCAATTCCTGATGCTAGAAGTCTCACTATTGCTTGGCCCACTGTGTGGTGTTCAGAGGCTTCTGGCAGGGGCTGTTACCCTCCCCGCTGTGTTACGAACATATCAGTTCTGAAGTGTGTGCTCGTATGGCTGATATTTAAATCACTTCAACAAAAATGGTTGAGTGACTTCTATGTGACTTCTAACCTGCACAGGCTGCGTCACAGACACACGGCATACCCATCTGTAATCCGCACAGTGCTTTATCTGGAAGATGTGGGGAGGGAGGTACCAAGTTGCCCAGGCCTAGGAGAGATGGCATAAACCTATACACAAAGTAAGTAAAGTTAATATGAAATATTAACACAAGAGCAATAATTCCATCTCACTGGCATCAAGGCTTGGAAGAGCAGGTTTTGTGATGATTTACTGTGTAGTGTCTGCTTTCCTCTAGAAAACAGGCCATGGTCATGTCTGGATTCCCAGGGTCTAGCCAGTGTTTGCCACATAGGAGGTGCTCAATATATATATTCACTGAATAAATGCATGAATCCCTAACCCCCAAAGAGGTGGCTGGGACAGACCGATTGCAAGAATATCCCGGAAGAAGCTATCTAGACCAGCCTACAGTCAGTTCAGAGCCCCCAGTGTGCCCACCAAGATCAGCAGAGCCTCCTCCTGACTGCCAGCTGACCATGGAGGCGGGAGCATAGCCTCACCCCAAAGCACCGCCCAGCCCACCCATGGTCCGGTGAGCAAAAACAGGTGCTTTTGTGTGGAATCACTGAGTACAGGGGTGATTTGTTATGTAGCAATAAATTGTGAGACCATATTGAAACTGCCTGTTCATTCCTAGCACCCTTGTTGGTTTAAATTACATCAAATTATAGCTGTCCATACTTTACAGGGCTGCTTTATGATCCATGAATAATGAAGTTTGTTGACAAGGAAAGACTGAAAGAGAACCACTCCAGAAATAACTTTAATTGTTCCTCTGAGCTCTGCTGACTGCCCAGGCTATTCTGGAATGGGGAAAGGGCTGTACAGGTCACTGTTGAGAATAAATGTATAAAGAAGTAAGAAATCCACCGCAGTGGTTTCTACACCTATATGAATTTGGAGGCCAGGCAATCATAATTCTATAGAGGTAAAATTAGGTTGACCCCAAATGAAACCAAATACAAGGTCATCAAGTTTTCCTCTCTTGTACAGACTGAGATAGAAATAAGGTGATAGCTGCACCTTGCCCACTGGCCTAAATTCAGGTCTGGCCATGGCAAACCCACACACTGCAATTTAAAAAATGGTGTCTCATAGGTGAGTCCATGACAAGAGCAATGACTGCAGCTTAGCTTGAAAAGGGGCAGTTAGCAATGAGTGTTCAACAAAGGCCACAGACAAAAAAGGCAAAAATGCTCCAAAGGCTCCTGCAATTTGGTATCTGGAGCCAGGCTATGGGCGTGCATAGCACAGACACAAACTTCTGAGCCAGTAGAAACTCTAATCTTCAGATCTGTCAGCCCAACACATTTCCAAGCATCTCCTCACTTGGCTTACTGCAAAAGGTTTTGGGGTGGGGTGGGGTGGGGGCTGTTGGATACATTTTTTTTTGAGCCACCCTGTCTCACAGTCAGTCTGCACCACACATTCCTAGGGAAGTGCCTGTGGTTAGTGAGACCTGCTCCAGCCAAGTCTGGGGATGCCCATGGCCTTGTGAAACTCTCTCAAGAACAGGAGACTGCCTAGCTCACTGGGGCAGTCCAGAAAGAAAAAAAAAAGCAGAGAAAACTAATACAAAACACAAGGAAGAAAAATTCTTTAGCAACCGCAAACTTAATGAAAAGGACCTAGCATTGGGGCAAACACGGTGACAGAGCTCTTAGTGCTCTTTGACCCGAGCCTATTGCCGAAGTCCTACTGCGACCCGTTAACTGATGCCCGGAATGACACAGCTCAAAGGTAAGGAGCTATGTTTGAAGCCGGCTTTTTAAAAGTTGAAGATGCTTACATTTGAAATCCCTTTAACTGATCCTCTAGCAATTGACAAATTACTAGTAGACACAGAACAGTATGAAGCATCAAAATTCATCTAGACTGGGAGAAAGCATTTCTTTATAGAGAAGTTCATGCTCCAATGACTGAAAGCATCGTGGAAAACACAACCATTCGACAAAAATAATCTGAGGGCATTTAACCAAGGCACTAGATTATAACCAAGGAGGTTATGCAGAATGGTAAAAGGCATCTAACGTTTTTAAATATTAAAAATTTCTTTGGAGACCTTGAGGTTATGAAGAAGCAAAAAGTAGAATATATAGATCTTTCTTGGCTAAAGATGTGTTAAACATTATTACATGAACACCAGAACGAATCTGCTTTATTCAACATGGTTGTCCATGGCATGTCACGGAAATGCCCACCGGTGTCAATGGATCTCCAGGTTACTCAGATACAGGCACAGGGCCCGCTGCACGATGCCCACCCTGCCCATCCCCTCCCCACTGTCTCCTCCTCCCCTCCCCTTTGCTGTGTGGGCCATTTAGTGAGCTCTTCTGCGGCCTCAGGCTCCAGACTTCCCTTACCTGGTTACCTGCTCCCGCTCTAGTGCAGGGCACCTCTCACGTTCACACCGAACTCCTTCTTGCTTTATTTCCCCCAATTGACAAACACCTGTGTGCCTCCCACATCCTTTCCTCACCAAGACCTCCTGCCCTCCTGTTTACCCATGGTCCCTCCGCCCTCTCAGTCTGGGGGTGGTTTTTAACTCTCCCCACTTTCACTCTGGTTGACCTGTACCATGTCTCCAAAGCTCCCACTGGCTGCAAACAGCTTTTGCCAGTGTTCTTCTGGAAATCAGTACTAAGCACACACGTTTCCCCAGGGATGTCATCTCCTGGAGGAGAGGAGTGTATCTGGCCGCCACATCTTTCATAGCCAGCTCACCTCTGTTCCCGCCTTTTAATCAAGAGGACCTGGAACAACACGCACATACAATTTATTCAATAAATCTTCTGTTGGACCACTGATAGCACAGATGGGGATTAGATTATTTTAAGAGTAAGTTCAACAAAGGGTAATTCCTACTCATCTTTAGTCAAAGCAGGAAGATCAGCTCTATTACTACAAGTGGTATATCTCTTTACACTTAACAGTCATGTTAATAATACCAAAAGGAAAAATGGGTGAATTTTACCAGTACTTGAGACCATGTCAAAAAAAATCTACAAGGTTTAAATGTATAGGAGGCCCCATGTTGGGAAAAGTAGCTAATATTGTAAAGAATAAAGTAAACAAAAGATTAAGTAGGAAACAAAGGAAAAACCAAGCCAAGAGGAGTCGGCCATTGACCTGGAAAAGAAATGCAGAATGCTAGGGTGTTGTTAAAACCACGAGCCACGTAATAGGCAAGAAGAGTCACTGTTTGGAATTTTATAGGGCTATACCAAAATATTAATTTAGAGCACTGGGTCAAATTCTGGACTCTACCTTGTATCACAGATAAGGGAAACGTTAAAAAGAGTTGTGTTGGAACACGGCTCACGCACTCAGAGCCAGTTAGGAGCTGACCCACTCACTCCACAAGGCCTTTGAGGACCAGCCTCTTAGAGAAGGACCCTCTTCCTCCTCTGTGCTCTCCAACGCCCTCATACAAATGCCACTGGAAAGCTGTAAGATCTGGATTAAAGAATAAATTCATTAAGGCTATGGGGAAATAGCACGGAAAAGGGACGTTTGAGACAATCAGGCTAGTTTCACAGGAACGAAAGAATACAGAGAGGTTAAGTTTCGAGCCTGGATTCCTCTGGTTCACATTTCCACTCTGCAAGTTAAGCACGGTTGGCCCGTGATACACGTATGGCTTCTTGTGCCTCCCGCAGGCCCCTTGGGGGCTGTGCACGGATGGAGTAGATACTCGTTTTAACATCAGTCCAAGTAAGTATCATTAGAAACACGGCCTGAGAGTACACGATAGCTTCTCAAGGTGAATACATTGGGATTATCTGCCTTTTTGTTTTTCCAGGTCCCTGTTCCCCCGTCACAAGCATGGTTATCCAAGCGGCGGCTGTCACAGGAGGAATGTGCGTAGCTGTCTTCAGCGTGACCAATATGTGAGAACGGGTTCAACGTGTAGTGCAGGTGAAACATAAAGTGGAATCTGAAAGGGGGGTGATGTTTACTGATGCTAGAAAAATAGTTTTGGAAAAGGCCAGGGACAGCAACAGGTCCTCACGCTGTCTGGAGCCTCCGGTCAAGTCAATGGGAGACAAAAACTGAATGAGACCCAGGTACGGAAAAGCTAAAGGGATTACTGAAAACGACAGGAGAAAGGAAGGCGAGGCACAGATGCTTGATGCAGTGGAAGGCAGGAGGCAGGAGTGATGAAAGATTCGCACAGACAACTCACATGAGGCCAACAAACAACAAGAGCGCAAATCGTTAGAATCTGAGTTTGGAGTGTGCAGGAGACACGGGTACGAGCTTTCTCAGCCATGGTAGAAAGCATCTGTCTGGTGGAAGGAAAAACACTATGACTGTAAAAATTTTAAAAGTGAAAAAAAAAGATCGCTAAATATATCTGGGATGTAGAGCCATTTTGGTTCAAATTTAAGATTGTGTGATTCTACTTTAAAGTTGAAGAACTTAATTTAACTTGGAAAATGACACCGATGTTTTTCTCAATGGCCACAGGCTCCTCCCAACAGTTTCAATAGCGTGGGATGCTCGGCTTTTTCTGCCACATTTACTGTCAGCTACTAATAAGGTATTCACCCCAGGTCTTATTCAACCATGACTGAGACAGAGAGTGTTAGGTTTATTTAGAAATCCAGATAAAAAGACTAGTAGCAAAAGGGAGCTAAGTTACATGTTTAGACAAAAACTTATTCAGATCTAATTTATATTATGTGTGGAATTTTCTCAAATACATATAATCATGAAAATGATCCAGATGAAATCTAGCAGCAGAAGTTTTCTTCAGCACTTAGGCCGCAGGTTCGTGCTGATGGTGTAAGCTGGAGAGAGAAAGGCACCTCCTCTTAACCCCACCCCTGAGGCTCCGAGCCCAAGTTAAATGGTGAATATCCACACACTTTGGCTGAACATTTCATCTAAGAGGGGCACCCTCTCACCCACACTGTTCTGAGCACAAAATTCTATGCAATATTAAAAAGGCAAACCACAAAGACCTTACTCCGTTTACTTTCAGATTCACAATTACGTGAGTAAACATTAGCTGCCATCTGAACACGCTGTGTAATGGTTTGAATTAATCTTCTGGCCCTTTTATTCAACATGGCTCTCTTACAACCATTGCCAGCTTGAAATTACATAATGTGTTTAGAAAGGTGTCATTCACAGGCTCTGGGCAACCAGGTCCCACAGAGGTGCCATTCCACTTCCACACCAGGTAAGCTGAGCTGTCTTAAAGCCAAGATGTTCCGAAGTTACAGCCTCGGGTTTTACCACCACAGAGAAGTTAGCAGCAGTAGGACTCTGGCCCTAAGGGGAGGTGCTTTTCCAAGGTCTTGGTGAAACTGTAGGCTTGTTACCATATAGATGATACAGCTTCCTTGTTGTGTCACAGACGGACTGTTATGCCAAGAGTATTTGGTCTTGTCTTTGAACAAAACAGAATAATGAGGCCTTATAGAAGAAGTTAGTTTTGATACATAAAACAATCTGCTATTTGTTCTCACCACTGACAAGTATTAATTTTAAATAACATCCTTTTATTTTAATTCTTAAGATTAAGTGACTGTATACTAATGGATGTCTCTAACAAAAGCACCTGCTAGTTCGTCGATCTTACTGAATGCTAATCCTAGACCGCGTCACCTATTAACGAAGTCACTCCCTCTGTGTCACTGCGTTTGGGAATCAGAGAAACAAAACTACAGCTTTCCAGAGAAAACACATTTTCTTTTCCTGAGCTAGGAGCACAAACTCCACTCTTGAAGTTGGCATGAGAAAGCTATAATTAATTACTGAAGAAATCACTTATTACAATAAATACACACACAAATGAAAAGGCGGGAGAAACGACAAAAGCCAGATTCTCAAGCCATGTGCCAGCAGCTTACCTATCAGGGTGTGAAAGACGGCGGCGATGGCCCCGGCCACCACCATGCACAGGACGGCTTTGGTTCGGTCCCGCTTGCTGTTCACGAACACCAGGCCCACGTTTTTAAAGTCACTCATGGGGCCCGTGAAGAACTTCATGAGGGAATAGGCCAGCCCGTAGCTGGCCAGCATCTCCACTGCATCCTCCTTGACAGCCGCGATGCCTCGGTTCAAGGCCTGCAAGGGGAAGAGACAGCACACAAACTGCATTAGAAATCTCTTCTCATCTCCAGGGAATCGCAATTCTAAAATAAAGCTCAACAGATCGTGTTTCTATGGAAACACTAAGCAGCTTATGGGGTAAAGCTCACTGTAATTTCATAAAAATGATTAGCTTTCATTTTCATCCATATTAGCTGCAGTTTAAATATCTTCCTGGAGGGAGATGCCTGCCCTTTCAAGTCATAGAAAAGAAAAACCCCAAAGACCATTTTACGTTACTGTCAGAAAATAATACTAAGGAGTTTTGGTTAAAAGCTTAGCATGTTAAATGTTATTTGTAGGCTGACTCTATATAAGAGCAATAGGCATTCGGGAAATGAGTCAACCACTTTAGATGGGGTGGATAATGGTATATACTTTCCTTTAATGAAGGGGTGTGTGAGCGCACGCACGTGCACGAACATGACCTGAGATGGTGTGTATGTGTGATGTAGGTGTCCTTCAAAGCCTAGAGTGAGTTCTGGGCTATAAAAAAACGTACTGAAGAAATTTATTATGCCGTGAATGGATGCTGTTCTTACTGTATTTTAATTCTTACCTGATTCTTACTGTATTTTAATTTGAAATATATTTCTAAGTTCTGTGCAGATAAATATGAACAGAAAACCTTTATATCAAATACACTGTTTTTCAATTATGCTTGCTCAAGAAGACGTGGTCATAGATGTTCTGATTGCATCGACCACCCTCCACGAGGGACCCTCTGGGGTGCTGGTGGCCTGGTCAGGGTGGCATTTCCAAACTCATTTTCCCAACCACTAGACAGACCAATTGCACTGGAGACACTGGGAACGGACGTCCAAGTGGAGAGGATTTTATTTAAAAAATGTTGCCAGAACATTGCCTCTGTCTTTAGAAATAAAAAACTGACTGACTAAGCAGGAGAATCAGCTGTCTGTAGAGTTAAAGACTTTTAAAAAGAGGTGCTGTGCTCCAGCTGGTGTGGCTCAGTGAATTGAGCACCAGGCTGTGAACCAAAGGGTTGCTGGTTCAATTCCCAGTCAGGGCACATGCCTGGGTTGCAGGCCAGGGCCCCAGTAGGGGGCACGCAAGAGACAATCACACGTGGATGTTTCTCTCCCTCTCTTTTTCTCTCCCTTTTCCTCTCTCTAAAAATAGATAAATAAAATCTTCTTTAAAAAAAGAGAGAGATGTTGTGCTTTAGAGCAGTTTTAGGTTCCAAACAAAATGGAGCAGAAAGTGCAGACAATTTCCAACTCCCCTGCTCCAACACACGCACAGCCTCCCCCACTATCAACACACCCCACCCGGGGATTACGTTTGTTACAGTCAACAGACCTACAGTGACTCAGCATCATCACTCAAAGTCCACAGTGTACATCAGTTCCCACTTGGTATTGTACATTCTAGGGGTTTTGACAAATACGTAATGACAGGTGTTGACCACTTCTTATATAGTTGAACTTTCTATGCAAAGTACTGTTAGCAAAAAATGTATTTACAGTCAAGTACCAATGTGCAAAATGATTTTAGAAAAGTCTAGCATTAAAATGTATGATACTGTAGGAATTTAGTATCATTCTTCTGACAAAGTTGGTATTGTATAAGCTAGTTTCTGATCATTGTTTCTGATTATATCTCTAACCCTCTTTTTTCACAATAATAACATAAAAATTTCCATAAGAACTTTCATAGCCTTTGCAGAGTATACCTGCCACAACGCCTTCCTTAAAAGTGACTTTTCCTTCTACCAAAGCTGATGTAATAATCTCCCAAATTAATTTCCTTTTGGACTCCTGCAGTGGATGCCGTTCGTGTCGTACCAGGATCCCGGTATTGGGCAGCACACCCACCCTGGACATTGACTTGGCCACTAATGCCTTACAGCTGACTGCTTCTCAGGGAAAACTGCCCCCAGCCACTTTGGGTTGGTTAAGCAACACCTGACCCCAAGGCAGCATACAGCCAATGGCTGGCTGACACAGCGTGAGAAAGATCAGCTCCCCTGCCTCAATGAGGGACCATTCTGGTACAATTCATGCTCCAGAGCTCCCTGTGGGACCAGGAGGAAGCTAATTTCCAGAGGAGACCACATACTTACTTAACTTTTCCCAACTGGCCTCTGCTTCTCTCTCCTCCTGAGAGCACTTGCTTCACAGATCACTTGGACAAGATTCTCCAACTCAGATCTGCTTCCACAGAGCCCAACTGAGGACAACTTCCAATTACATTCATCTCAGACACCGAGAATGGTGCCTAGTTGCTCCTTTGCCTTCCTTGTCATTCCCAAAATCTGTAGCTGTAACTAGTTTACGTTCTCATTGCTAAAATGTTGGCTCAAATTTAAATGATACCTGTGACTAAGCACAAGTTTTAAAAGCATGCCAGAGGGCATCTAAATAATGTAGGATTAGATTTTTTTTTATGTGTTTTGTTGGCGAAACTTTATTTTTTGCTAAAAAGACACCAGCCCTGGCTGGGTATCCACTGCAATGCTATCTTTTGTGCCAAGAGTTCACTGACTGAGGCTGAAACCCAGGGCTGAGGCAGGTGAGAAGGAAGAGGGCGCAGGGAATGATGGCGCTGCTGGCAAGATGGTGTCTGCTCAGCAGCTGCAGTCACCTGGGGAAAGAACCCAGGGTGCACAGCCATGCAGACCGCAGCCGAGGGCTGTGCGGGGCACCAAGCAGTGACTGGAGGAGGCACTTCAAACAAGGATTTTTGTCTATTTTGTTTACCACTCTACAACCATCTCCTTGCTACACCATAAACACTCCAGTATTTGTTAAATAAATGAGCTATTTTCTACCAGGAACTTTAATGTTCATACTAATTTTCATGAACTTTAAGAAAATAACATTGATTGCAAGATGTTATGACTCATAAGATATACCATTAATTAACATTTTTAATGACAACATTAAAAGTACATAGTGATTAAAAAACATATCCTGATTTTAAGCAAGATTAAAATGCAAGAAAAGAGCTTTAGAATGAAGGACATATACCATATTAATATTATCAGCCTTTTTATTATTCCTAGTTGTAGTAAGTATTTCCTCCAATTTGTTCACTTTCTTAACTTCATGATAATGTAGTCGACCAATCATTTCATGGAGTTTCATTCTATACTTCTGGACTTTCCCATTCTTACTCATGCAGAGATAAGATAATGTTGTTCTAGTTCATGGCTTCATTTCCAGACTTAGCTTGTTAATCTTCCTGGAACTTACGCTGTGAGATATGGCTTAACATTAATTTTCTCAAAATAGTGTATTTCTTCAACACCAGTTTGAATAATACACCCATTGCCCATTAATTTGGGATGTTTTCATATCAGTCATTAGTTCTTATATGACCCTCAGTCACCTGTTGTTTGCATTTGTCTGTCTCAATTCGCTTACCCTGTTTTTCTTCATAGATGTTCATTACCTGACATTATATTGTGTGTTTATTTGTTATTTGTCTTATTGTCTCCCTCCTCCATTTGGATGTAAGCTTCAGGGCACAGAGAACTATCTGGATTATACTACATCCCCTGACCTATAACATGACAGGAGATCACATGACCACTCTGATGGAATGAAGTAAAACGTTCACAAGCAGTTTACGGTGGCAGGTGAAGAAATGAAGCATAATAATGAGCCCAGAACTCCTTAGAAGACCCTACTCAGATAGACTAGACAAGGAAACCCCTCCAAGGAGGTGACATTTGAGCTGAGTCCTGAGAACAAGAATGAATCAGTTGAATGAAGAGCTGGAGGAAGGCAGAGGCCTGCAGGAGGGCTTCATGCCGTAAGTAACAGAAGAGAGGCCAGTAAGAGAAGTAGAGAGGGACAAGGCAAATTTGGAAAAGTAGGCCATGCTGAGGTCATTCCAGGTCATGGTGAAATTGGTGTGCTTTGTTCTAGGAGCAGTGGGAAACCATCAAAGGGTCGGAGCAGAGGGGTGCAGAGGCCCACACTGGCTGGGGGATAAGAGCAGACAGAAGAGAAAAGGGCAGAAGCAGGAAGTCCAGTGTTGTGGTCACCCAGGGAGGGAAAGGTGTTGGCTTGGACCAGGGTGGGATGGTGGAGACCAAGAGAAGTAGGTTGCTTTGGAGGTAGAAAGGATGGATCTGGTGATGGACTGCATGGTGGGCATGAAGAAAAGGGAGAAACTGAAGATAATGTTTGAATTTTTTGGCTTGAGCCACTGGTTATATGGTGTAGCTACTGACTGAGATGAGGAGACTGGGTAGGAAAGATTTGGAAAGAAAAGGTAAGAACTGCCTTTGGGAGCCCCTGTAGAGCCTGAGCTGCCCACCGAATTCCAATAGAGAAGTCAAGTAGGATGGTTGGCTACATGAGTCCAAGGGAGACATCGAGCTATGGATAATACAAGTAGTCGGCATATAGATGGGATGGAAAGGCAGGAGATAAATGAGATCATCCAGACAGAATATAGAAAGAAGTGTAAGATTCAGCCCTATAGCGCTCTAGAAAGAAATTTAAACTGCTTAAGGATATGACAAGCCTTCATATTACATCCATGTTATAACTATGCTGTAGTTCAGCATTAATGCACTCCCTAGATCCCCGAACACAGCTACATCTCTCATGAAGACCAGGAAGATCAGCTACAGGGGCTAGGGAAGAGGAAGAGCTACTGTCTTGAAGTTCAGCTAAAGAAGTCTCTCAGATGTCACTAGAACGCATTAGATCTTGGTGAGAATTCTGTCCCCATAGAGTCATAGGTACAGAGGTTCGCCTGCTGTATAAGGCAAATTTTTAGACATTCATGAGCCTCTGAAAGTGAAGACATGTTGGATGAGGGTGAGAGCTGACAGCACCCCAACCACTGTAAGTGTGGGGCTGCCCTTCGATCACAGCCGGGTCTGCTCCCAGAGGGGACGGGATGGACCCTTGCTCATACTCAGATCAGTGTTTTCTACACTGTGGACACTCAGTACTATGAGACCCCTGAGTTAAAAACATACCTGGATCCTGAACGCC